TTTTTTAAATAAAGAATGAACAAATGGAGAAGCATAATATAGTATGTCTTTAAAACTGAGGACTTAATTGTGTAAACATTAAAATTTCCCCAAAGTATCAAAATTCAAAAAAGGAATTTTAAAAAAGCCTTACAATTTATTCTAGAGTTTATCTGGAAAGATGAACAAGAAAGAGAAGTAAAAAATGTTTGAAAACTGAAGAGTAATGAAGATACATCAATCTAACTGCTTATTAAAACTTATTATAAAACTATAGCTAAATAAATGAAACTATAATTTTTAAAGTATAGTGACAGACCGAGAATAAGCTGGCATGTTAATGAGACAGAAAAGATAGTCTAGGAACTAATTAATTGTATATAAATTAATATGTAAGTATATAATATAAAAACTCACATAATATAAATTATGTATATAATGAAGCCATAAATATACATGAATATGTAGGTATGATAAAGGTGGCATATAATCAGTTGAGAAATAAATGATGAAAAGAAATATTAAGTAATAAAATCTGCTGGGAAAACAAGCGACTAGTTAGATAAAGTAGTTTGATCTCTACTTCAAACTGTATGATGACATTAACATTAGATTTAAAAAGCATTAAAAGAAATTTAAAAAACAAGGAAATGCTAATCTACCTGATTTTGCAATGGGAAAAACCTCTCTGTGCCTAAAGGCAATGGGAAGAAAATCACAAAGGAATAAACAACTCATACAAATAAATAAGAAATAGAAGAGTGACCCTGTTGGAAAAGAATGGATAAAAATGTACGTAGGCAATTCAGAGAAGAAGAGATGGCTAAAATCATGAAAATGTGTTCATCCTCAGTGGTGATTCAAGAAATGCACAGAATAAAGTAACTTGCCCAATGTTGTGAAGCTACAAAGAGGTCAAGTTGTATCTGAATTGGTTAGAAAAGTCTTTTACAAAGTATCTGGAGATATATATATATATATACTCAAAATCATTCTTGATGACTCACAACAGGACAGGACTCATAATTATTTAATAATGCATGTGTGTATCTGCACATAAGGAGT